AGGTGCGACTTCTCAGACTATCTTTCCAAGCACCGGCCTCTCAGGTGAATAAATCCCCTCTTGTAAATTCTGAGTTAAGACTGTACGTGATTTAAAAGAATAATTGTTTTATTCAGTTTTAAAACTGTCAATTTTGTTGCAGGATTGTAGCAGGAAAGTAAACAGTTTGGATCTGAATGGAAGCCAGGTTGTGAATCTGACCACAAACAACTCCCGCACATATTGTCATCTTGTCCCTTTTGAAAATGGTTCCCTGGTTATGTCTTGTTAAGGTAGAGCAGGGGGTTTTTGTTGTCTAATTTAATTCAATTTACGCGCACTTGTCTTATAGAGAAGAAAAAGTGAGCACGCGTAAAACCGGCAAGTATGTAGCTGCTCGGCGACAGCCGTGGTCACTTTTCCTTGCGCGCCCTGCTGCATGCCATCTTCTGCGCTCGCCTTTTTGCTTATCTTAACTGACTGAGAACCTGAAACAGATTCGGATTCTTTGTACGGAACCTAGATATTTTCTTGATAAAACCTGCTCTTATGTGGGTTACGACTTTCAGCTCCCGAGGTAAGCCTAATTTTGATTAGGTCGAATCTCGATTATCCGGACTCGTGGGGACTGGGTTCAATAGTCCAGATAAATAAGAGTTCGAATGATGAAAAATATATATGAATATAAATGTTGAAACTTCGTGGATAATGGGACCGGAGAAGCAAGTCTGGATAGTCGGGAAATTCAGGTAATCTGAGGTCCGGATTGTTGAGGTCTGACTGTAATACTAAGTCTGATTTTTTTAACACTAGGTTGTCAGACGTATAAAGTAAGTACTGAAGAACCTTCCACACAGAAGTGTTGGTATCTAGCAGTTTCAAACTGTTATTCTGGTTCAAAGGTAGAACTGTCTTTTTGAGGGTTCTTGTACATTTCGGAGTACAAAAGGTTACGTTTTGAAAACTTTAACACTCTGGGCATCTTATGCTCGACTGCGATGATCATTCTATTTCCTTGAGGGCGTCCAGGTGACCTTATTTAAGATATTTCACCTTCTACAAAAAACGAATGACCTTGATTACTCCCAGAATGAATGCCTAAACTGACGAATAAGCTGAGCCTTGCATATATGAAGCCAGAAATCCAGCGGTATCGCCCATTTACGAATGACAAACCAAAGTCAACTTAAAGTTATTATCATTTCTCTATTGATTAAATCAATCATAAAATCAAAGCGTACATATTAATTCGAAGAGACGCTTACTTTTAATTTAAACAGTATATAAGAATGTTCTTCGGTAACAATCATTTTTTTCTTAATTAGGGACTCAAGCTGGATTATTCTCTCAATATAACTGGTATGTACATACGGAATATACCTGTTTTAATAGAGAGATTTAGCACCGCGTTTACGTAAACAGCAACGTCAGCTTGCCCTTTCACGTCTCACGTAGAATAGCGCGAATCTTGCTGCTTTAGCTTCGCGTGAGCGCACGTCATAGTGGACTTAAAGGCGCCCTTGTATGACTTACAGGAAATAGTTTTGGAGCCCTTTTTCCGGCAATTAACTTCTACACTATGAGACAAAAGGTGAAGAAAATCATACGTACTCGGCAAACGCGAAACAGGTTAGTTTCGCAAAAAAACGGCAAAGTGCAACTGGCAAACGTGAAAAAATGGCGGGAAAAACAAGGTCACGTGGTCACTCTTGCAGTTAACGTTTCACGTAAACGCTGTGCTAAATCTCTCTAATGCATTATACTGTCACATTTAAATGGTAATGCTCTATATTTATTCAACAACATCATTTGACGAACCATCAGTGGACGAGATCAGACTTTGTTGTCACCGTACATCCACTTTACCAACACGCAAGGAAAGGCTCCATAAATCTTAATAGGAAATTATTGCAATCTTATTTACTGCACGCAGATACAGCATTTGATCCCTTCCCAAACTAGCCCATGCAGGTATAGACACAAGTGAGCAAAGCTAGAAATAATCTTAAGTTATTGTATTTCATTTTGCATTGATTTATTGTCATTTTGTTTCAAAGTACGAACATATAAAGAGAATCTTTCAACGTGCTTTGCAGGAGCATCACCAAACAAGGCATCAGACACATTTCACCACCTAAGCTGGCTGTGTGGCCTGTTTATAAACTGTTTTATGATCACCTGGGTGTCTTAGACATCCACCGCTCACCGACGGACCTTTCGTCGCAGGAAAGGAGATAAAGTCTTTTCGTGGTTTAAAATTACGTCGTTACGTTTGAGTTTGCGTTTGTTTGTTTGTTTGTTTCTTCGCATAAGGCTAGGTCTTAGGCTGGTGTTTTGCGAGGAATAATGGTACTCCTGAAATCTCGACTCTGAGAATTAATAAAGTTGCTTTTTGGTCAGTACATGTAAATTACAACGTGAAGGGAAATCATTAATAGTTATTGGACGAGGTTGACCGGCGAGATATTGGGATTTGTCCATGGCAAGCAGAGAAATTATTCGCCAAAGCCGAAGGCCTTTCGATCGCGCACTGAAAAAATCGTACTATTTGACGTCGATACTGTGGTAAAAAACAAATCAAAAGTGCGAATTCACTCGGCTGCACCTCGTGAGTCCATAACATTTTGAAGGCTGTGATGACGAATGAGAGTGCAAATCACGCTAAACCACCGTCGAATTGTTAAATCGAGACACCTATGCCAACACGGTCCCCAAACCAAACTCAGAGACACCACTTTTCAGAATCAAAAGGCTCAAATGATATAGTTGGTAGTTCAGTTTTATCAAATGACTTGATATTGGGAATTGGCCATCTAAAGCCTACATTTCAAGTAATCATCCATAATGATTTAATATTTATATTGCGCAAATTAATATATGATTATGATCAAATGCGCATCACAACACTTTTCGGGGACTTTGGGCGGACTGCATCAGCAGTTTACAATCAATCGAAGGAAACTTATTTGAAGATGCCCCCTCCCCCCCCAATTCCCAGTAAACAGGCCAGACCACATCTTAGTAATCTCGTGAGTGGGTTCTTTAACGCCCCCTGTCTAACCAAATTAACTGATTATTGGATGCAGGAGACGGGACCTACGGTTTATTTACAGTTTAAGCAAATGTTAGCTATCCTATTCTTCAGAGTGAATGACAAAGGGCTAACGCTCGATACGTCGGCCTTAGGAACTCTTTACGGTTGCCAAAATTTACATTATTAACTCCCGATTGATAAAACAAATAACACCCCTTCCCCCCATGATAAAAATTATGTTTTTGAGTTCCGGAATTATCAAACATATCTACAGTTTCGATCCTCTATAGCTAAGTCCAAAGGTACAAGAGGTTACCAAATGCCGAAACAGAATGCATCAACAGAATTCAAAGATCACTAGTCACATGATTCACAAGGTGTTTATTATGATAACAGGGCACGGGCGTCAATGTATAGTGAAATAATAAAGAAATGTTTACGGAGGGTTTATGCCAGACTGGTATAAATGGCAAGCACGTTCAACTAAACTGAAAGTTTTCCATGGTTTCAAGCTGACTTTAGGCAAGATCCGCTTCGTGTCTCGACCCCAAAAATTTTATGATGATTCGAAAGGTTTGGAGGTATTCGCAGTTTATTCTTTAACTTTGAAGAAATGTTTGCTTTCCTGAAGTTGGACAACTGACAATTAAACGTATCATGCTGAGACAGAAACGACAATTATATAAAAATTATCCTATATAAGTAGGAGATGAAGTCTTCTGTTGGAAGTGTTGAAAACAAACTTTCCGGCAACGCCAACGAGCATATGCTTCTTTACTGATGATTCTAGCTTGACGTCGATTAACGTCTGAAAAGCTGTTGTGAGATTGTTGATCACTTCGTAACAAGTTGCAAGGAAAGTGAAGGAGCCTCCAGTTTTGCAATGTCAAACTTAATTTACTCCTTGGTGTTTTTGCTTGGTGTCTCAAAGTTCGGAAAATGTGGTAAGGCTTGTGTATCATATGTCTTCCGTTTCCTTTCCCCTTAAGTGACTTACTTGTAGGAAAGAAGAACAGTTCCAAGGCGTTATTGAAACAATTGTGTAATTTTACAGACGCATCCTGTACGGATTTTATTCGTAAAGATGAATTCCCGTTTCTTTATTACGCAACAATTAATATTGTGCATACCGTGATACTGAGGAAAGAGCACACTGAGAATATGATAGTTTTGGAGTTCAAATATGAACTTCTCAGCGACCACACTGGGAAGAGTGTATTTCGATCTATCTCTTCCAGTTCTGGTGCTATTTTTTTTTTTTTTTAGTTATCACTGGTATTTTTAGAGTACATACGTAGTTTTTCATTTATGAGAACTATAGTAAAAATAAATAAACTCGCCCAGCTATTAGGAACTATTTAATTTCCCTTCAGTCTCCCATAAGTCTGGCCGAAAATAGGTAGATTTGGAATAACGTTCTCGAAAGACGAAACGGCCAAATTTTTCTTCAGGAATTCTTCGACAAAATCCAGAGAAAGTGTCTCCTGTTCATAATGAATGAAAATATTTTCATATGATTCAACGCAAACAGCTGGACGGCAAACATCAAAACTATCGTTCTTGTTGTTCTCATATGATAAACTGCATGTTTAAAACAGTGCATAGACTTTATGTATTTCTTTTCAAATCTACCAATACAATCTCTGTACTAATTCTGTGGGTAACGTATGAAATTCAGAGCAAAGTATATGATAGGACTTATGGCTTATAATGGCAATTTTTGCTACAACAAATGGCTACAGACTAAAAGGTTACTATCATAGGTCATCCTCTTAACCGACTTTTTCCGATTCGAAATTATACCCACTTCACGTTGTTGATTAAACAAATGGTCGAATCGAGCAACATGTTGTTTTTCGTGAGTGATAAACGCGGTAGATTTCATGAGAACAGCCCATAAATGTCTTCTTTTTAAATTTGCCTATAAGACCTTCGCTTTACCCCTTCAAAAATTCCGACGGAAACGTGTTAAAATAAAAGAACATCCAAAAGAAATAAATCAAGCCGCGAAAGAAAACTTGGTGTGCGGTATTTCTGACGATTTTTCCTGACCTTTAAATCGAGCTGCATTGGAAGTGTTTGATAAGTTTTTTTTATATTTCTTGTTCAAAGTACATATTGATTTTCGTCACATTTATATAACCTTAAAGCGGAAATCTTGTTATAGCGCCTTGACCTTTCCAGACAAGGATCAAAAACCAGGTGTGAATTCTTTTCACTTTAGATAAATGTATACTGCCCATGGATTTGGCGATTCTGGCAGATATATCACAGAGTCTAAGAGGTGAAGATCTCACAAAACTGAGAGAAATCATTCACGATTTAGTAGACAGAGTGGGTGTGTCTGAAAGAGGAACTCACTTTGCTGTTATCACGTTTGGCGGGAATACGAGTGTTGTAAACAACTTTGCCAACAGCACTTACTATGACGCAAGTTACTTGAAGACACGTGTAACTGAGGCACTGCGTAGAAACTCGAGACGCGAGGGAACTCGTACAGATATGGCACAACGCCAGGCAGCGACAAAGCTCTTTACCACTGAAGGTGGAGACAGAGCCGGTGTCAGAAATGTGATGTTCATCTTTACCGACGGAAAGTTTTATATCAGCAAGCGATGGGATAGACGACCCAATATTACGCTTTTAAACACCACGAGAGAATTGGAGGTAATTTGAATTAATGTTGTTTCAGTCAATTTTAGGGACGCCACAGCAAAGTGGCAGCAGCTTAAATTGAAAACCGTCAGCAATTTTAGAAACTCTTATACTTCGAGCAAGAAATTTCTCAAATATTTCTGGCATTTCCATATTAAGTTGTAATACTTATCTTTCCACATATTTTTCAACAATATTTTTCGATCACAGAAACAACTGCAAATTGACGATTTCCAATCTACTCTCGATATAGACAACACGTTTCATAACTAATTAAGACTAAATTTACATCGAAAGAGAAAGTAACAAACCAAAGGATGTTTGAAATTGGTCATTCTTGAAATTCCCGACTCCCCCACATCTTCAATATAAAATCTGTCCGTAGAAATCTTAATTTGTTCTCGTTACTTCAGCCTTTCTAAATCGCGATAGCCTGTGTTTTTGTCATCTCCTTCCTAATTTTTTTGCTTGATAAGAAAAAAGATGTGAGAATCATAGTTGTTGGAATTGGCCGAGATGTGTCGGAGGAAAAGATGAGGAAAGCAGCCGGCAGCAAGGGACAAGTGATCACACGTCAGAGTTATTATGAATTGTCCGAGAGTCTTGATGAGCTGGTCGACGAAATATGCAGTAAGTTAAGGTTTTGTTTTTGCGTTCATAATGATATACGATCATTAATATCGTAAGCATGTAGGCTTTGAGTCTCTTCCGGTCTTAGAAGTCCTGTGGGCAAAGCTGCGACCAACCCGACTCCCTAGAGGTTTTGCTAGTAGCATATCTGGAGTTATATACTATCCACCGTCAGCCTCTGACTCGCAAATGGAAGATTATTTGTTAAAATGCCTTACATCAATTGAGTCCCAACATCCAAACAGTGGATWTCTTCTTGTCGGTGATTTAAACCCCCTAAACGAAGTGACTCTCAAATCCAATTTCAATCTGAAACAAATTGTTCACTTTCCGACCAGAGGGAAAAGTTTTTTGGATCGTATTCTAACCAACATGAATGAGTTCTATGATAAAGCCATCGAGCGACCTAAAATTGGCCTTTCGGATCACAGTTCAGTGGAGATCCAGCCCAAGCTTCGAGAAAAATCATCGCAGTCAAAGAAAACAATCACCTCGAGGGATTTGAGTATCAACCCTCGTCAATTCGGATCTATTCCCAAATCGTCTACTACACATTCTCTGGTCAACCTGACGCATAATTGGCTTGTTAACACCGATGGAAATAGTGCCACGGCAACAGTAGCCCTACTTGACTTCCGAAAGGCTTTTGACCTTATCGACCATAGTGTTCTCGTTCAAAAACTAGCAACATATGATATTCCGAGTCAAGCCAAAAGCTGGATTGTCGACCTTTTGATGTACCGGAAACAAAGAGTCAAACTTGCTCAAGATTGTCACTCTGAATGGCGCTCTGTACCATCCGGCGTCCCCCAGGGAACAAAATTAGGTCCCTGGTTATTTCTTATCATGATTAATGATTTGGACACCCCAGCTGACTTGCGCAAATATGTGGACGACACATCTTGTTCCGAAATAGTTACTAAGGGCAGTGAGAGCAAAACTCCAAGAAGCTGTGGATGACCTTTCAAGACAGGCGAGTATCGATGGGTTCCAACTGAATGAGGCCAAGTGCAAAGAACTACGAATAGGATTCTCTAACAGCATCCACGATTTTGAACCCCTAGTCCTAAATGGCAAACCCCTTGAATTAGTCACCAGTGCCAAATTGCAAGGCGTGACCATTAGCCACGATTTAAAGTGGAACATGCACACCTCTGAACTAAGTAGAAAATGTTCCTCTCGTCTCTACTTTTTGAGACAACGCAAGAGATCCGGAGTTGCACCAAGCGAACTTGTGCAATTCTATGTGACATGTATTAGGCCCGTCTTGGAATACGCAAGTCCTGTATTCCACCGTTCTCTACCAAACTACAGTCAGCGAAGATTTGGAACGGATCCAAAGAAGGGCACTCAGAATCATCTATCCTGACCTGTCATATAGTGAAGCACTAGAAACAGCTGGCCTACCGAAACTTTACGAGAGGAGAGAAAAGATTTCAACCATTCTGTTTGACGAGATAGTCCGTAACCCCACCCATAGACTCCACAGCCTCCTCCCCCAAAGGAAGAGGTGTAGATACGCACTGAGGCGCAAAAGTGATTTCACTCTCCCCATACGCAAAACCGAGCGCTTAAAGGACAGTTTTATTTTTAGCCATATTTATAAGATGTAGATAATTTTCCTTCTTTCTTAATGACGAAGTTGTGATATTTTATACTCCTTTTTTATCATCTGTATTTGTAAATATTCCGTAATTCAGCCTATGGCTGCATGGTGTTTATGATAAAGTATCTATCTATCTATCTAAGCTCAGTGGGAAATGAATTGTGATGGGATGAGACGGTCGAGGTCATTCAACTCACTGTAAACTTTGCGAAAACTTGGTGTTATGGTTAGTGTTTCCCTCTCAAACGAGAGATCGATCACATGAGGTTGCAATTTTTTACCCTTTTCACTTACCTTCTTCCTCTAAAGGATATATTTTTCTAATTTCTTCCGAAACGAACTTTTTTCTTGTACAGTACTCAGCATTTGAATGGAGTAAATTTTGGACCATAACTAAAATTCCTCGAAATGTCTTTTAACCATTTTTGGTGTTAAATATCAGGGCTCACGTTTTTTTTCGGCCAAAGAGGCTAATCCGTCCAAAACAACTAGGGACTTCTGTCATGATCTCAACCTCTCATTTTTTTTCTCTGCTTAATTTATTAGTCATTTCATGTCTGTAGAGGGTGTTTGTTTTTGTTATTATTCAAACTAAGTACCAAGAGATGGGAACTACTCTGACTGGTCAGAGTCTGAGTGCAGTGTGACGTGTGGCGGAGGAACAAAGACTCTTACGAGGACCTGTACCAGTCCCCCACCGGCCAATGGTGGAAGGGACTGCACTAGATTGGGACCAGCATCAAAAAATGTTCCCTGCAATGAATATGAATGCACAAGTAAGTCATTCATTTTCTTTGTTATTTATAGGACCTCAAATTAATGTCAAGATATTATGAACCATTATTTGCGACGAGCAAAACTACTTTTAACGGGTGTAAGATTACTAAATTTCAGTTGATAGCATGGATAAACTCAGCAACTCAATCAAGGAGGAATATGGCTAAAGTGGGTAAGATTTTAAGAAAAAATGTGCAAGATGAGTTGGAGTTTAACGTAAGATATTTCCTATTTAAACGATACTCCATCTGTAATCTACCGTGTGGCATAAAATCGTGGATTATTTTTCGCGAATTACCATTCAGCCAGTGCCTAATTTTTTGAGGTTTTTTACTCGAACAGTATGTAGAACATTGTCGAGAAACTTTTCTACCTTGTCGAATTATACGGAGCGTCTTAGGAGCTACTTGGTAGATGATTCGTGGATTGATATTAATGGTGCTAGTCAGTCTTATTAATTAGAAGAGGAAAGGAGACAAAATTGCATGCAGAGTTCATTCTTCATTTTGCGGCATCTGGTTTTGCGGATCAAGGACTATCCGGAAAACCCACAAAAATTGAGAGCCTCTCAGAGTATCACGCGATGTACTAGCTCTTTGAGTGCTTGTTTCTTGTGATGGCACAGAAGCAGACTCTTGATCGTTCTCACGAGAAAAAAATTATTCTCTCGAGTGGTGCGTAAAAAGATGCGTTTAGCTAAGTATACACCGTAAATAATTTACATTGATTTTCTCTTGGGTAATCTAGTATGCCCCATGGATGTGGCATTTATCATGGACTCTTCCGGAAGCATTAAAAGAGCGGAATTCTATGATGAAAAAGAGCTCGTCAAGAGGCTGGTGGCGCGCGTGACAGCAACTGCCAACCGAGAAGCTCTAATTATGTTCAGTTCATCAGCGACTGTCAAAGCGCAATTGGGACAGTACGATAATGCGGAAAAATACCTGGAGGTCATACAAAAATTGCGAAAAACAAACGAGAGATCTCGAATCGATAGGGCTCTAGATGTGGCGGTCAATAAGGTGTTCTCATCTGCAAGACCCTATGCATATAAGATTGCAGTCATTCTAAGTGATGGCGTACAATCAAGAGGAGCCAGAGGCTTGAGGGACAGTTCCAGGCCCTTACGACAAGCAAACGTTCGTATATTAGCGGTAGGGATTGGAACTGGTATGACGAAAAATAGATTGAGGCTTATGACAGAAAATGACGACGATGTTGTGGATGTGAAAGATATTGATGGATATCTGCAGGATATAATGAACAATGTTTATCAAAATCCTTGCGGCGCTGTGCGTAAGTATCAACTAGTGAAGTTCAACAGTAGACGGAAATAAAGTGAGAAAATTAATTCCTCATTTGGTCTTCTTTCGGAGCTTCTCCCTCTTCTTGTCGTACTTTACTAATAGTGATTTTGCTTGCAGAGTACCACAAAAAGCGACAAGACAATAAGGATTCGTGTTTGACTTTGAGTTGTTGTTTTTCTCTTTTTTTTTTTTTCTTTAGTTCAACCAGAACCTGGAAACATCTTTTCTAGAGGTAAAGCTGCTCTTTCGCCATTGTAGCCTTCAATAAGCACTCCATCTAAGTCGGGATGTTGCGTCTTTGGGACTTGCTTGGTTCTAATCCCATTTCGACAGAGGACCACAGCCTCATACAAACGACTGCCTTAAGAATTGACCTCTGAAAATCTGAAGATTCTCTGGTAACATTCCCGCTTTCATATGGAGGAGGGATTAGTCTTTCATAACAAAGGAGGATTAGTCGGGTATCCCATTAGGCCTTGCGCGTTATTATCGATGAGAAGGTGTCACGTTGCATCGAATTCGAGTGCACGCGCTGGAAAGTAGACTGAATTTTAAACGGCTGTTTGTCCTTATTCAGAAGCACGGAAGGTGATTTGAACGGTATTATGTATTCTTGTAAGAGTTAAGTTGACTTTAGTACTTTAGTACTTGAACTTGCTCTTCTCTAAATGGAAAAAAAACGCCTTTGTTATGATTGGTATGCACGACTGAGTGGCTTTGTTTATGCGCTTTACTTTAACGTTTGATCGATATTTGCTTGTTGTGCTATTATTTAGTTCTTATTAAGCGAGCGGGAGGTCTGTATGGGAGAATCTTGACCGAGGTCGCCAGTACAGACCGAACGCAGTGAGGTCTGTACCAGCGACCGAGGTCAAGATTCTCCCATACAGACCGACCTAGCTCGGTTAATAAGATGTTTATTATATGGCTGTGTCTTATATGCCAATTTTTTATATTCTTTGTACCTTTTTTTTCTAGACCGGTCTAGATGCCGGTCTAGATGGGAAAATCTAGACCGCTTTCAATATTGATTTCAGCCAATCAAATTCGTGAATTCGGTAGTTCCCAGTCCTTGTGAGACACAGCCATATAATAAAGCTTTTGATCGATCTATAGCCTTTGCTACCTGTATTAATTGCCCCTTTTAGTACATCTGTGTAAAGGTTTGCTCCTGAATTAAGGTTAGTATCTTGTGATGGAGTGTTTTCTTTATTTCTTTTGGTAACTCGAGTCGCTTGCCACTTCTTCAGAAGACTGGCTTTTCACTGCGATTTTTCCTTTCGTCGGGTAGCAACTGCATGCAATTACAATTTGAGACTTGTAAGTCTAGCCAGGGCATTTCTGGGATGTTGTTGTTTCCTTCATATTCGTTATATGGTCGAATATCCGAAGCGGCAAGAGACCGATTTTTGACGCAATCGAAGTAGAATATTATAAGAACTGAACGTCTTCGATCTTCGCTTTCATCCTCTAGCTGTTTGGGTAAATTGAAAGAATATCACATTGAGAAGCCTGGAAGTCCCGGACAACAAGCCAAATTGGAAAGTTTGATTAAGTCTGACTATCCAAATCCAAGCAGTTGACATATATTAGTGGCGAATGCGAGAGCACTTCGCTGTTGATCTCAACTACCTCCATCTCGACTGAGTAAGCATGTGACTAGAGCGAATCGATAAAATGAATTTATAGTTCAAAGCGTGGAATTGTGGGATACCTGACTAATCCTCCCTTGGTGGCTCCTAAAGATTTTGCCGCATATACTTGCTCGGTTTATTTTGCCAATGTGTTATTTTCAGAATGCGCAGACCATCCTTCCTACGCAACAAATTGTGCTATGAAAGCAACAGAGCGCATGTGTTGGGACCATCCAGATTTTATGGACATTTACTGTCCTAAGTCATGTGAACGCTGCTAATGAGGTGAGCGTTTTTCAAGCGACGTCACAAAATTTAAGCTGTTGCTCATAGGTCCCTTGTGGAAGGCACAGTAACCTCATGGTTGGTGCGCTCGACTCCCGGGATCGAGTGGTCCGGTATCGAGCCCTGGCCGGGGACATTGTGTTGTGTTCTTGGCCAAGACACTTTACAATTTCCATGCCTCTCTTAACCCAGGTGAATTAAATGGATACCGGCCAATTTAGTGCTGGGACGGTAACCCTACGATGGACTAGTATTCCATCTAGGGAGGCGTAGAAACACTACTAGTCACTCCATGCTACGGAAACCGGATTTAAGCGACAGCCCGATGGGTCACTTGGCGCGTATACAGGCTTAACCCACCTAACTCATAGATTCCTTGTTGCTGTGCGTCCGTCCGTGATATTTCACAGACGACATCATAAATAAGAGCCAAAATATGGCGCATGACGTGTAACCGAGCGTGTCACTAATGTGCTCGACGTCTCTTGTGTTCTACAACTAAACAGACGCAAGGCAACATAAAATCGATTTGCTTCGTATGTTGAAAAAGCAAAATCTTGTTGATGGTGACGTCATTCCTGCGTCTGTCCTCTAATAGATCATAGGTAGGAGCCAATCAACAATCAAAATGCGTGTACAATTCAGTTTGTCATGTAAATATACTAAGGGCTCGTCCACACCAACGCGGATTCAAAAGTATGCGGATTCGTTTTACCGAAAAC